GGCCTTGAACTCCTGGGCTCAAACAATCCTCCCACCTCAGCCTCCTGAGATGACACTGCAGGCCCCATCTCTTTCTAACTGTGTGATGTGGAAAAGTGTTAACTCCCTTGCACCTCCTTTTCCTCCTTTATAAAATGAGACCAACAGGATACCCTGCTTCACCCATCTGTATGAAGGTTAAGTGAGAGAGTGCCCTTGAATCATCTAAGCCCCTTGCCCTTGGCTTTATATCTTTTGAGGATTGAACCATTGGCCAGGCCTCCAGGGAAATAGGTGTGTGTGGCCAAAATGAAGTTAGGCATAGGATCTAAAGAGCCAGTGGCCACCTCAGAGGACTCTCCAACATCCTACACCTGCCTTTCCATGCTGACAAACCTCTACCTACTGCCCCGGGCATTGCACCCCTGGGGGCCTAGCACAACAAACAAGCTTTGCTTCTTTTCACCCAGTTCACCCAGTGCTCCAGCTTGGAAGGCTTCTGCAGCGTCCCCCAAACATGTTCACCCATGGCTGTAGCAGCACCGTTGCTCAGGTTGTCCTCGGGAGGCCTCCCCTCCCCCACCCCCAACCTTGTTCAGACCTGGCTCCCCACACCCAAAGCTTTTTCCTGACTGCTGAGCATTCTGTCTCCTCTTGTCTACATCAGTACTCTAGCCCATCCTCAAACTCAGCTCAGTGCTGTTATTTAATCCCTTTCCTGTTCCATCTCCTTTAAGAGATCTTGGAAGGGTGGACCCTTCTCCTTGTCCTGAATGTCTCTCACCACACCTGGGACCCTGCTGAGCATTCATCTAGTGCTTTGTGTGTATATCCTGGAGGAATAAGTCTTTCCTATTCCCAGAGTCAGAGAGGACCTGGGAAGGGAGCAGAGAAGAGTGTAGGAGTCAGCTAAGATGAAGCAGGGGAATATGCCCAGGTTTGGTTTCTGCAGAGTTGCAGGGTGGCACTGTGCCCTGATCATCTTTTGGAGGAATGCAAGCACCATTGCCACTTGCAGAGAGCTGGGACCAGTCCCTTCTAGGCATCCACCTTTACTGGGATAACCAAAGACATCACAACCCCTTTCACCTTCTCAGCGTCTCTGTGAGGCAAGTGACATGCAGCACCCCATTCCACCCCTTGTGTATATGAGGTCACTGAAGCTCAGAGAGGCTAAGTAGTTTGCCTGAGTTAACAGCAGGTGAGGAGTAAGTCTCAGGTAAGGCAGTTCTGTCAGAATCTATGCAGGGTCTACTCAATCCTGCCTCCCTGTTTTTTGTTTTTGTTTTTTGTTTTCTTCCCAAAGCCAGCTTAGGCTTGGCCTCTAGGAGCCTGTGGCAGAGGGGAAGCCCCCACCCTAAAGACCACACCAGACTGTGAGGTCAGAGGGAGGCCCTCAGGCCCTTGCTGTTCCTCCTCTGTCCCTGAGTAGGTGAACATACCCATTACTTCTGATTGCGTCTGCAGCTACTCATCAGCTACCTTTCTGCCCACCCTTCAGCTCAGTGCACAGCAGAGATATTTGGTGGTCTGTGCCTCAGTTTCCCCTATGTGAATTTTCTCACTCCTTTCTCTTGGCAGGTTGGGTGAAGCTAAATTAATGTTTATTTAAGGGCTTTTGCATTCTGAGCTGACAGCTGCCTCGTGATGGTAAAATATGAACCCAATGTAAGTGCAAAATGCTATTGTTTTACACCTGAGGGTGATGTTTCATAATGGCAGTGAACTGTCAGAACCGTAAGGAGAAATGAATGGTGTATCTAAGCCTCCCCAGCTCCTCCACACTCAGAACACAGCAGCTCACATCCTGGGGTGGGAGAAATATGAGGCTACTTGCCTTTTGCTGTAAATCTGCCGTTTCCTCAGCCCTGACAGGTGGCTGGACAATCCCAGTCAATTCATCAATTAAATCTACCCATTTGTGGTTGCTGGAAAGCTTGTGTCCTTGGTTCTGGCAAAATCCAAGGCCCTGAAGCTCAGGAAGGCTACTGTGCTGTGACTGCTGAAGATGGGAGCAGAGAGCCTGGGCCAGGGGCTCTCCTGGGAAGCAGGGAGAGTGGATTTCGAGCCAGGAGAGGAGACAAGAAATAAGAAATATGTATGTGGAGTATGATTGGGATGGAGCAAAGTCTGGAAAACCAGATTTTGTGGTTTGATTTGTCTTTAGCTTAGTTCACCCAATAGGGCAAGTGGAACCACTTTCTGGTTCTGATGCAGGGCAGAGTTGGGCTCTTACCTTGGTTACTGCAATTTGTATAACTTTGAATAACTGCTCAGTCTTAATTTCCGTATCTGCAAAATGGATGTATTTTACTTTTTTTTTTTTTTTTTCCCAGTACCGGGGAATGAACTCAGGACCTGTGCTTGCTAGACAGGTGTAGTGCCACTGAGCTAAATCCTCAACCCCAAAAAGGAAACAATAGTAACACTCCCTAGGGAATTATGACACTTAAATATAATACCTATAACAGAAATATAATATCCCAAATGGATCTGGCACTAATCCTGGCTTGTCATCTATAGTGAAATCAATGGTGGTTATTATTATTGCCCGAGGAATAGTCATTACAGAGGGCTACATCGGACTTGCCTTTGAGTATTTACATACTCTCTTCCATAAATCAAACAATTCCTGAATTCCTCCCTGTCAAAGTTCTTTCTCAGCTTTGTAAGTCAATTTATCAGGCACCTTGTGGAGTTATTCTGTACCTTGATGGCTTTTCTATAATCCATAGTCCACTAAAGTGAGGGTATCTGTTAACTAGCTTGTCTCAGGACCCGAGAGCAATGTCCTGCTCCCAAGAGCAAAGGATGGGCTGAAATGTCCAAAGTCCAATAGGAACCATTCCAGGAGAGCTATGTGCAAACATATGTGCATTAGTCTTGGTCTTGGACAGTTGAAGATGGAAGTTGATGGACAGGTTGTGTTTGAGAAAAGCAAAGATCCTCTCTTTACTTTTGTAGTGGTCACACTACAGCCACATATCACCTAGTGGTTAAGCAAATGACTCTGGGGTCTGTATTCCAGGGGCCCCACTTACTGGATGTGTGTGGTCTTGGGCAAGTTTCTCCCACCTCTCTGTGCCTCGGTTTGTTCATCTGTAGTCTGGGATGACAATGGTAGCTACCTAATAGAGATGTTGGGAGGACAAAGTGAGGTCATACAAGTAAAGCCCCATCAACAGTGCCTGGCACGTGGAAGACACTCAACAACTCTTTGTTGAATGGATCTTGGTAAAGAAGCTTTTCAGAAGGCAAGCAGGCTGGTAGAAATGGGGTCTTTTACTAGTGGATTCTGAGAAGGCTCCCTAAGCCTCAGATTGCTTATTTGTGAAATGGGACAATTCACAACTGTGGAGAATGCTCTACAGCCACTGGAAACTGGGAATGCTTTGGTGGCTTCTCAGCCTCCCCATTCCCCAGTTTATTTTCTCAATCACCAACCCCATGACTATCACCACCAGAGGCAGGAGGCAGTGTGAAGAGAAGGATGCCAATGGAGGCTGCCACCTTCTCCAAGTACCTTTCAGCCACTAAGGATGCAGTGCCCAGTGGAGGCAGGAGATGCATTTGCAGCTAAGAGGATGCCCCTGACACCACAGCAAGGAGCCCATGAATGTTTTTTCCGGCACTGCTGCTAATGGCTTCATCACTGCTTTTTATGAGATGATGTGAATTGCTTTGGCCAATGAGGCTTAATGGCCTTCCTCAGTGACCTGCCTGGGATATTCTCCCTGGAGGCTCGGCTCTGGGTTAAGCCAGGAATATTAATATAATCTGGAGGTGGCCCTCCCCTCCCCATAAAGTTGTAGAAATTGAGTTCAAGTTGGGTCTCTTGCAACGTTCTTTAAACAGGCAGCAGTAGTCTGTTCCTTGAACTTCCTGGTGACGGGGGAGAGGTGGGGGATGGCTTCCATCTGGAGAACTGGGACCAGACCTCTCTTCCTCTGGTTTTACTCCTGCTTACTTGGAGGTAGCCTTCTTAAAGGGGTAAGCTCCTTGGTCAGAGGGAGGGCTCCCTGACACCAACATCCAGGGCTGCTCGATGGGAGAAAGAAGTACTGATGTTCTGTGCTGGGATGAGTGGAGCATACCTCCCACCCTCCTTTCCAGGCAGCCCAAGAATATGCTGCTGTGAGGTGGAAGGTTGGAATGGTAATTTGGCAGATATGGAAGGGGTCTATGCAGTCTTGCCCATTTGTCCTTTCTGCTTATCTCGTAGTAAAGGAGCAGTGAGGGGAAGGGAATTCCACAGGCAGCCCCTGGAGGAGTGGGCTCTCTTGCTTCTCAAGCTAAGATCTTCCCCACCCACTGCACCTTGGGTCCTTCTTCTGTGTGGCAGTGAATTTTCTGAAGACCCTCAGGGGTCCAGAATGGTTGTCAAGGCTTAGCGTGGTCTTCCATCTTCCAGGGCAGCATTCTGGCCATTCATCTTAGGCCATGGTTTGGAGACCTTTTGGCTCTCATCTATGGTATGTACAGGAGAGATAGCACTAAAATATTTGTTAGGAGGAACAGGTTCAAATTTCAGTTCTGTAACCTAACTGCATGCCTTCGGACAATCTATCACACATAACTGTTCTCAGCCTATAGAAGGGGGTGGTGCAAAGGAGAAGATACCATCTGCTCTCAGAACTGTGAATGAGGCAAGAAAATGAGTGGGAAGTGGCCTGCAGTTGGTAGGTGTTCAGTAAATCTAAGCATTTTAATGTCTACCTTAATACATAAATCTCATAGTGGATTATGACTTTGGACACTTCACCATAACAGAGTTTATGGCCTCCTTTCCTGTGGACTTGCCTTGGCATGGAGAATGAGACCTTTAAGTTCCTGTGCTGGGCCAGAAGCTTCTAAAGAGCAGGAGGTGTCTCTTACTCTTATCTGCCAGTGCCCTGTGCATAGTTGGTGCTCAGCAAGTGTTTACGCATGGCCAATGCATGGGTCTGGTCCTTGCAGGTCTCCATAGGTATTCCTACAGCACATCCTAACTGTGCTTCTCCTCTTGCTTCCCTCGCAGCCCGCCTTGAAGATGTTGGCACCAGCCTCTACTTTGTAAATGACTCCTTGCAGCAGGTGACCTTTTCCAGCTCCGTAGGGGTGGTGGTGCCCTGCCCGGCTGCGGGCTCCCCCAGCGTGGCCCTTCGATGGTACCTGGCCACAGGGGACGACATCTACGATGTGCCACACATCCGACATGTGCATGCCAATGGGACACTGCAGCTCTACCCCTTCTCCCCTTCCGCCTTCAATAGCTTTATCCACGACAATGACTACTTCTGCACCGCGGAGAATGCTGCCGGCAAGATCCGGAGCCCCAACATCCGCGTCAAAGCAGGTAAGGCCCAGGACACCTGCTTCCCACCTGGGGAGATCAGCGTGGAGAGCAGAACTCAGAATGGGGTCAGAAAGTTATCACCGTGAGGCCAGTGTGTGACATGCCCAGGGGCCTGGAAGAAACTATTCACTCAGGGACAAGTTAGAGCTCTTGAATCTCAGCTTGGCCACCTACTGGGTGTGCTTAGGCAGGGGAAGCACCTTTCTAAGCCTCAGTTTTCTCATCTGTAGAGTTGGTGCAAGTACCTATCTCATACATCAATGCACAGACAGTTAAGAGATAGTACTCATTAAAACTAATTACTGCGTTCATTTCAGTCCTGGACTCATGAAAAACACTAGCTGAGTTTCTTTTTCTAAAATAGCCTTTCATAATAGATGTATGGTACCACTTAAAAGTGCTTGTATCTGAATTTACTGTAGGATAACATACACTGTAATGGGAAAATTACCTAAAAACAATTTCAAAATGGCTTTTCTTTGTATTTCAGTTTAAAAGCCCAGCACATATACACCCTCTGAGATGCAATAAACACCTTGAACAACAACAACAAAAATAAATAAAATAAAATAGCCTTTCATTGAAATATATAAAGAAAAGTTCACAGGTTATAATATGTAACTGGATGAGTTTTTACAAAGTTCATTGAATTACAGATCCAGGGATAAGATACCAGCACCTCAGAAGTGTTACTTCTGCTTTTCTTAGGTTACTGTTCCCCCAGAGGTAACCACTGTCTTGACCTCTATCAATTTAGATATTTTGCTTATTTTTGTGCTTTATATAAATAAAGTTCTACAGCATGTATCCTCTGGATGCTGGCTCACTATTCTGGTCATGGGATTTACCCTTCCTGTTGTAGATGGTGTCGGGAGATTGCTCACTAGCTGCTGTGTAGTATTTCATTGCATAACTAGACAGCAGGTTGTTTGCCCATCCCAAATGTTGGTGGACATTTGAGGATAGATTAGTTCATGAGAATAGGTGTTTAGGTTAATACCCATCCTGAAAATGTTTTAGCAGTGAACGACTTGGGTCTTTGGAAGAATCACTGGAGGCAAGGAAATGAGGCTTTCCCAAATGTGTGCCCTTAGAGAAAGTAAACCTGGGTCAGATCTGGAGGCAAAGGATTAGGTCCATTCTTAACTAAAACATCTTGATCCACTAGTGTATCCCCGTCACTGGCAAGGCATGCATCAGATAGCAAGAAGACCCTCAAGAGTGGACAGTGGTTTTCTCAGAAGGGCTTTTTTGTGTGCAACAGGTCAGCTGATCCTCTGGCCAGCCTGGTGTAGTGGCACCAGGCCAAGTGCTCACCATCTTTTCCCACTGCTGGGTTGGTCTGATCCAGGACTATGGTTCCAGTGCAGGCCCCCTCCTGGCAGCAGATCCTGCAAGATAAGACTCTTTACCTCCTCAGTCCTTCTGTTAGCAGCACCTCTCATGGGGACAAAGTTTCAAGTATCTGGGAGCAAGGCTGATGCTTTGTGCTGTTGGTCTGTCCTCTCCAGGGAATCTCTGCCCTGTTCAGCTCCTAATTCCATAGTAGGTGCTGGGAGCCCTGAGGGCTAGATCTGAGCCCAGTTCTGGCCTCCTCAGCCCGGAGGGAAGGGAAGGGAAGGAAAGTCATCTTTGCCATTACATGCTAGATGTTGGGCTAGATGCAGTTTTCACACTAAGCCTGCAAAGGGGTTCTCCAAGATAAGAGGACTAAGACAAAGACAGCTTAAGTAGCTTGCATAAGAGAACACAGCCAGTTGATCACAGCTATTATGAAAGGCAACACTGTCAAGTGCTTTCCAAGGGCTTGGCCTTTTACTTTTAGGGGGAAGCAATTGAGGCTCCAGAGGATAACTCACCCTTTAGGAGTCCCCACTGGTTGGAGGAGGAGGCAGGGCCTGCTTGTTTGATATTATTACCCATCAATCTCTTTTGCTTCCCTAGCACCCTTAGGATGATGTAGGCCAAAACCCATCCTTTTACATCTATCATTCTGCTCCCCTCCAGGGTCAGCTTCCTCAGGCTCCTTTGGGCCAGGTGTGTGTCCCAAAACTGGAGGCAGTGCTGCAATCCCACAGAGACACGGCCCCAGATGGCCAGCAGTGCCTCTCTGGTCTTCTCTCTCCACCAACTCCACTCCTTCCCTTCCCCATCCAGCCATAGCACAGAAAAGGGGAAGGATGAAGGCCCAGGGCAGCCAGGGAAAGCTGGACCTACTAGAAACACAACCAATTAAGGGGTTCTTGATGATGCCAGAGAGACTGCAGGTGCGCAGCCGGGGGTGCTGCCAGAGCCCTAAGTGTCGCCCTGGCAACCATGGCAAGGAGAGGAGGAGGGCAGGCTGCCCAGGTGCCTACTGAGAGACAAGGTTGGTAGGCACTGGGCTTCTGGATATTGCCTGCTTGGCAGGAAGGGGTGGAGTAAAAGGATCCTGAAGTCCCTGCAAAGGCTGGTAGAGGGGGAGTATGAGGCAGAGGTGAGATCTTCAGGCTCATTCTAAGGCTGGGTCAGCCTACCTGAAAGACTGAGTGAGTGGCTGCAGGTGATAGTGCCCAAAGCAGCCCTAAGTGGCAACAGGACCCTGAAGAGAGGGGTGGTTCTGAAGGCGGGCCAAGGTGTGGGCAGAGCTTGAACCAGAGGCTGCAGGTAGCAGGGCAGGAAGAGGGAGAGAACAGCAGGGATGCTTTGTTTCATAGAATCTGGAGTTCTCTATTCTCAGAGACAATCATGATTTCAAATATTCTCCCTTCTTGTCAATTATACACTGCCAAGACCTTCCAGAAAGTTCAGTATCTTAACCGCATCTCACAGGCTATTTTTCACAAGAAAGTAGCCCCCAACTGCTGTTGTTAGATCATATATCATGGGTTTTATTTTGGCAGATGATGGCCACCATGTCCAGAAAGAATGCCTGGGTCCAGGAATAAACTAGGAAATCCAGTTTGGTTTCCCTAGGGGAATTCAAGCACATGCCTTAGTACCCATACATCCTCTTGTTGACTGGATGACAATGCAGGCTCTACTGCTGCCCTCAAGGTCCTTACAATCTAATATAATTTGCTAGTACTCACTGAAACAGGAAAAGTTGCAATTTGGACTTGTGGTCTTGAAGAAGGAAGTAGCTATTTCCAAGTGAGAGTAGCTTCCCAGCAGGTGGGGAGGAATTGGAGGAGTTGGTGGAGGAGGAATTGTTCAGATAGGGACAAGGTCCTGCCAGGAACTCCCGTACTGGGCAGGCAGGAGGTGGGAGGGGGCAGATGAGAAGGGGGAGGAGGGGGCGAGCCAAGGGCTCTGATATATACCTGTGACACTCTATCCCATTCCCAATCTTGCTGCAGTTTTCAGGGAACCCTACACCGTGCGGGTGGAGGATCAAAGGTCAATGCGTGGAAACGTGGCCGTCTTCAAGTGCCTCATTCCCTCCTCAGTGCAGGAATATGTTAGCGTTGTGTCTTGGGAGAAAGACACAGTCTCCATCATCCCAGGTAAGGAGTTGTGGGGCTGTGGCCCACGGGGCTACCTGGTTGGAAGATGGTGCCTGAGCTGGTTGCTAAGCTAACCAAGGCCTTGGGATTGGTTCTGCTGGATGATTTATTATTGTTCTGATGAGGCTTCAGCAAATAGGCCTCTTTGGTCTCTGTCTGGTGTATTTCTCTTTTCTTTTCTTTTCTTTTTTTGGTGGTACCGGGATTGAACTCAGAACCTTGTGCTTGCCGGGCAGTCATGGTGCCACTGAGCTACATCCCCAGCCCTGTCTGGTCTATTTCTGGATGGGATGGTGAAGGTTTCTTCTGGGCATGTCACGGTTCCAGCATATAGGGTTGGTCCTTCTCCCTAGTGGAGTGGGGCTCTCTTGAACTTTCCCTGAAGGATCAAGGCAGCTGGCAGCCTCATCTGTGAAATATGGCAGGAGAGGCGGGATAAGGAGCCCATCTGTGGTCTGTGTCCCTGTATTGAATGACTAGAGCAATGGGATGGGATTCTCAGAAAATCAGACTCAAGAAACGTGTGCGTAAGACTTTCTCCTGAATTTTCTGGCTAAGATTCCCTCAGAATCCTCCCTCACTTGATTTGCTTGGTAGCTGGTGTGGGGAGACAGGATTCATACCATGGTATTGGTTCATCCCACTGTGCTGCGGTGGTCACCAGTCCCTCATCAGTGATCCCTTTCACCTCTGCAGAGTTGTTCCTCCAACAGGAAGCAGGTCTGGAAACACCAAGACAGGACTTCAAGTCTTAGTCTACCTCCAGGCCTCCAGCTACAAAACAGTAGAATCTCTGCCACTCCATCCTTACACACTGCAGGGGTTCTGCCATTTTTCTTCCTTTCTCTATTGTATTGTCATCCACATGTCCCTGCCTTCCACATAAAGGGTAGACACTCTGTGCTCAGTGAGTGGGTGAATGGATGGATTTTGGAGAATTCTGAAGGAGGCTGGAAGCAGCCTGGACAGGGGCACTGAAATATGAGCATGTAGAACCTGACTTAGCAACACCAGAGCCAACAGGGGGAAGGAAGGCTAACAGCTCCTGTGCTGAGGAGCTGGAGAGGTGAGCCTCCCCCAAGTGGCCCTTGAGGTTGGTGCTTCAGGGCTATTTTGATATCAAAACTGTGCTGATGGCTTCAAAGGGCATAAGTATGAGGGACGTGGCCTTGATGCTAATCTGCAGGGCTGTGTTAAACTTTGGTTCTGTAGAACCTCTTCCTTTCCTTTGGTTTTAGAGACTCTCCAGCCCCATCCATAATCATTCTAGATCCTTCTGTAGCTACATGTTAGGTCCAAGGACGGTCTTCCCAAAGCACATACTTCTAACTAACATGTTTCTGTAGGAAATATTAGCATCAGGCAAAGGGAGCTTTGCTTCTTCCAGATTCAAAGGTGAGGGACCAGAACCTGGGCCCACATACTACATGCTTTGGAAAAATGCAAATAGTCTGATTTTTTAAATATAAAAATAGGATTTTCCTGCTATTCATATTCATGCTATACCCAGGTTATATGTGCTATGTGTGTGCTTTGAGGTGGGACAGCTAGGTGGCAGCTTCTTGTGGTGTGGGAGACTTAATGATTAGTTTCCCTGGGGGTGAAAGAAGGGTGGAAATGTCTTAATTACTTTTCTTGTTGCTGAGACAAAATACTTGACACCCAAAGTTAAAGGAGGAAATGTTCACTTCAGCTCACAGTTTGTAGAGGTTTCAGTCCTTAGTTGGCTGGCTCCAAACTAGGGTGGCACATGGCAGAGGGGCCTCATGGAGGAGAAACGTGACATGGCCAGGCAGGCAGCAAGCAACAAGCAGCAAGCCTGCCTTCCCTTATATTCCATCCAGACTGCAAGCCTGCAGATTGGTGTCAGCCACACCCAGGGTGGGGCTTCCATTATACTCACCCTTGATCCCAGGGTCACATCCTTGATCCACATTCACACACCCTGACACTCCCCATTTGTGACTACATGAGGCCTGGGTGACATTTAGACAAAAGCCACACAAGAAGGCTGAGTGTGTTCCTCCACACTTCGGGATCAGCTTCAGGAATAAGTTATCTGAATTGATTTGACCTCTGAATCAGCTCAGGGCCAGGCTTGGCTAGAGCAGTTGCTAGAGGAGTAAGGAGGAAGGCAGGAGGAAGCACAAGAGAGGCTGATGTGGGACAATTGGGGTCCCAGGAAGCATCCCTTTGGGGAGAGCAGGACCTTGGAATTAGGGAACTGATGTAGGCTCCTGCAGGCCCCTATGGGTGTGAAGAGGCCCTCCAGTGTTTCTTTCTGAGACTGTGAGATGTAAACAAGCTCCATGAGTTGTGCACACTCACACCTCAGTCTTTCTGGCTCTCTATGGCTATCTTGGAGCTGCCCATGGAAGCCATAATAGGTTTTTGCCTGTACTTTTTCCAGGCCCTGGAGAGGCTGGAGAGGTGCTGCCTTTTCCAGAACCACTCACCACACCTGCCTCTCTCTGCTTGCCTGCCCTAATTTCCCCTCCCTCAAGCTGGTCACTCTCCTTCAATCTGTCCTTTTAAAGGTGTGCATAAAGTGCAGATCCTCTCCCCTTTGACCTGCCAGACTCCTACCCCAACTTCTCTCCTGAGAGCTTTGGCCTTACAGTGAACAGGCTCTCTGGAGCAGGTGGGGTGGGTATATAAGGGCTAAGGGCTGTGCACAAACATAAATTAAAATTAAGGCCTCCAGTGAAGCTGAGATGTGGTTTAATTTCCCATCTGCATGATCACCATTACAATGCACGTTACTGGATATAAAGATAAATCCGGCCCTGTTCCTAATAGCTTTTAATTTCCACCAGACCTGATTATATTGATGCAGGCTCCTTGTGGGAGTTTACCAGCATGATCTTTCCCAGCATCTCCCAGGCTCTGTTGGCTCCAGTGAGGGGTTTTGGACACCATTCAGATGTGGACCAGATGCACCCACTGCTGCTCTGGAAGATGAGGCTGGATGAGACTCCTTGTTCATGTGGATGGGGCTCTTGGTTGCGGGGTTGTCACCATGCCTGGGCAGGAAGGGAGTGTGTTGGTGACACTGTATGTTGGAGAGGGGAGAAATGGGGGAAGGAGGAGTCTGGTTACAGAGCCTGCTTCAAGGATCCCCATAAGGCAATGCTTCTTGCTCCTCCCACAGCCACCTTAGCCAACAAGGTGAGGGTCTAGTGAACCACCAACATTTCTGTACCTTCCTAGTGATTGTCCTCAGAGTAGCAGGGCTCCAAGGTTTTCCGTTGCTTTCTATTTCTCTTTTAATTTGTCTCTTTTGCCTTGTCTGCTCTGACAACCTCTTCTCCTTATTGATACCCTACCCTTCCTTTGTCCCAAACCTTCATCTCTATGTGTGCCCATGAGGCTTAATATGAAAACCTTACTGCCTCTCTGCTTCCATTCTTGGAGCACTACCTTCCTCTGTCTTATGTTAGAGGCCATTATTTCTGTCTGGCTGCAATTATATGCTTTTCATCATTCTGTCCCCAGGACCAGGATAGTACTGTCACAGAGTAATAATAATAACAAGATTCATAATAATACTTATCATATATGGAGCCCTCTTTTGGGTTAGACATTTTATGTATATTATCTCTAATCCTCACAGTCACCTTTTAAGATAGATAATGTATTGCTTTCCAATTTTATAAATGAGAATATTGAGGCCCAGGGAAGTTAAGCGTCTTACCCAAGGCCACACAGATAGCAGGGATGCAGCCTGGATTAGAGCTGGGGTCCTTCAGTTTCCTCTGCTTCCTGCTGCTTCTCCAGAGCGGGCTCTTCCTTAGAAATTGGCTGTCCTCAGATATAAATGTAGGAGGAGTTCTGTTTCCTGATTCTTGTACTTTTCTGGAGCTAGAAATGTGTCATTGGCTCTTATGCTGACCTCTGGCTATTGTGCACTGACCAGGAGCTTTGGCCTTTCCAAAGCACAACAGATCTCCAGCTTAAGTAGCAGTGAACAAAACAATCATTTGAACTCAAAAGCTATAGTGGGCACTGGCTGTGGCTCAGCCCAGCAGGAGACACAAAGACTGTTCTGATCCAGTGACTGAGGATCCAACTTGTGTCTTCAGCCCTGATGGATAGGGGTGGATAATCCTGGTGCAGCAAACAAATATAATCGTGCTTTGGTTTTGCAGTGTAGAGTTTACCCACTAATCACAATGCCCAGGCTGATTTGAAGGTCACTTTGGGTCCCATGTGCCTACACTGACTTGGAGCAGACAAGAGGGGGACCAGATGGTACCTCCAAACCAGTTTGGTGCACAAGTAGGTTCTAAGTGAAGGCGTGGTGTCACAGACTGTCAGAACTGGAGAGGGCCCTGCAGCACACATGGCTTGGCCTCCTGGGTGACCAGTAAAGGACCCATGCCCAGACCACACTCTTTGTATTCAGAGCACAAAATTTTAACCATTCATAAGGGACTTTTTCTTCCCCTACCAGTTTTCTTGCTTTGTGTTTAAACCCTACCCATCTTTCAAAGTCATGTTCAAATACCACTCTTTGCATGATGTCTTCCCCAATTTCTGCTAAGAATGGATTTAAAAATCATCCAGATTAACCTCCTCCTAGGGAATCCTTTTCTGAACTCCTGCCCAACTTTGTCAGTCCCCGGCTCAAGACAATAATTGTATTTTGTTCTGTAATAGTTTAAGTCCTATATTGTCCCCTCCCAGTATGCAGCATGTCACCATCAAGGGTAGGATCCAAATTTTCTTCAGACCCCTCTCCTATCTGTGCTTAGAGGAGATAATTAACAGTGATGATGATGCTGATGGTCTCTCCGCTATTGTGCTGTGTCATGTGGAAGGAAGTAGAGACCTGGCTAAGGTGACATGGTAAATTGGTGGCATGGTAAAATTGGTGACATGGTAAATCACCTGGATTTAATCAGAGGGGTCCTTCATCTCTATTATACTGAGCTGTTTCTGTGGGCTTCTCTCATGATACTTTGCTATTTAGATGTCAAATTGGAGGTCTGAGCTACCAC